GGTGCTATATGTTGAAAGTCGAAAAAACAGACTATAATTGCTAATTCTACAATGAAAGCTGAGCTTATAGTGTTAACTTCAGTGTTTGAGGAAGCGAATTAGTTGAGAGATTTGTTACATGAAATCTCTTTTTGAAAAAAACCAATTCCTCATGTGTTAATTCGTTGTGATAGCACTACTGCTATTGGTAGAGTGAACAATCATTTTTATAATGGTAAATCCAGACCTATTCGAAGGAAACACAGTAATGTGATATCCTATTTGAGTAATGACATCATAACTGTGAATTATGTAAAATCTTGTGATAATCTTGCGGATCCGTTAACTAAGGCCTTGGCGAGAGATAGGGTTGGAATACATCGAGGGGGATGGGTTTGAAGCCTATAAAATCATAAACCATGTATGAGGACACCCAACCTAGGGACCAGAGATCCTGTAACTAGGCTCAATGGGAAGAACGAATCATATGATGGTTGTAAAAAATGCACTCTTTAATATTTTGTTATCCATCCCTGTGATGTAAGTGCATTTGTTCTTTAATGTTGGAGGGTTGAGTTTTTATATTCTTCATAAAATTTTGTAGCCCTTTTTGAGTGAGATGTGTAAATTACAGGAACATCCTTCACAGATTTCACCTATGTGAGCATGAAAATGGGGCTGCTTTCTATGAGAATAAGGCTTATTCTCAAATATGCTCATGAAAATTGGGATAAACACAAGGCTGTAATGTGCTGACTATTAAAAGCTCATGTCAACGGGGGTGTTTGGTGCAGTGAGATGTGTAAATTACAGGAACATCCTTCACAGATTTCACCTATGTGAGCATGAAAATGAGGCCGCTTTCTATGAGAATAAGGCTTATTCTCAAATATGCTCATGAAAATTGGGATAAACACAAGGCTGTAATGTGCTGACTATTAAAAGCTCATGTCAACACCTGGATTATTATGTGTGAGCAGTAATACTTTATTTCCTCTAAGTAGTCGTAGTTCAAGTCTAAGACCACTACTGACTCTGGAGTAAATGTTGTTGTTTCACTAATGAAGGTTCAATGCAGAGCACACCTTTATAATGCATACTAGTCTATCTTTGTTTGATAATCTCTCTTGTTCTTGTTGTTATTAAAATGAGTGGGGGATTGTTGGACCATTTTAATATCTTTTATTTATTTATTTATATATTTTGTTTATGAATCTTCTTTTGTCTTGTTCATGAATCCCATCTTATTCATGAATGGAGATTCATTGTTTTGGTGTCTTTTTGTCTTGTTCATGAATACAAATAGTGAATAATAAAAAATAAAAATTAATTGAAAAAGCTACTTCACAGCTTATTTAACAAACACTACTCAGCAACTTAAATCTATAATCCAACAGCTATACCAAACAGATTAACCGCTTCTGATTAAAGTCATAATCTATAATCTGTTAAGCTATAATCTATAATCTGTTTTAACAGCTACACCAAACACCACCAACACCTGGATTATTATGTGTGAGCAGTAATACTTTATTTCCTCTAAGTAGTCGTAGTTCAAGTCTAAGAACACTACTGACTCTGGAGTAAAGGTTGTTGTTTCACTAATGAAGGTTCAATGCAGAGCACACCTTTATAATGCATACTAGTCTATCTTTGTTTGATAATCTCTCTTGTCGTTGTTGTTATTAAAATGAGTGGGGGATTGTTGGACCATTTTAATATCTTTTATTTATTTATTTATATATTTTGTTCATGAATCTTCTTTTGTCTTGTTCATGAATCCCATCTTATTCATGAATGGAGATTCATTGTTTTGGTGTCTTTTTGTCTTGTTCATGAATAGAGATTAATTGGAGTTCATGAATTTGGTGGTGAGTTAATATTTGGAGACTCTCAATTTTTTCTAGTTAATGGTTATTATTATTTTTTAATGTAAATTGTAAGGTCTTAGTGGACTATAAATAATTCCTCTCATCTATTTTTTTCTACACCAATTATTGTTTATACTTGAGAGATTAGTAGTAAAGAAGGGTGTTTTTCTTAGTGGAGTTTCGGGTTCACTATCTTGTGCAGAGTTGACTTGAACCATACGACAAGTGGTCGGCCTGTTGTATCTTGGAGGGGACAAGTCATAGTTTTGTGATTGCTGTATCAGTATTTGGGTTTTTCCTACCGTAGTGGGCTTGATCTCTTTAAAGAAAACGAGATATCCGTACCTCAACCTGATCTATTTGTATCTCATTTTCTTTACATTATTTATCAATAAAATATAATTTTTTTAATATTTTTACTAATATTTTTTAATTATTAATTTTTAACTTATAATAAATTGCACCGAACACCCTCATAATAATAGAGCATCTAATAATTTTTCCTTTGTGCCAGCTAGTAGCTATTGGAGTAACAAGTATATAAATAGGATCAGACTTTTCTCAAGTTGAAGAGAAGTTTGGTTTAGTTTGGTGCAGTTAGGTTTGTGAGTTACATTATGGTCCTATTTCAGTTATTGAAATTGTTTATCTTGAAGACAAACTAAGTGTATAGATCATTTACAACAAAAAAAAAATGAGATTGCTCTAATAATTGTAATTATATAATTTTATCATATTTATCGTAAAAAATAGACAACTATTTCCAAAATAATATATATTTTTTTAAGATAAATTTGATAAAATCATGAATTGATTAATTTTTTTAAATAAATATTTATAAAATAAACAATTCAAATAATTAAGGTTACGAGTATAACCGGATCAAACTGGACTTCTTTTCAACCGGAGAGAAGATGGCTCCTAAAAGTAAGGTAACCATTAAATGATAGTTGATGTAGCTTTTCAAGTTGTGTGTGCATTAAAGGACCCAAGTGGCTTTCATGGATTCACCTCCTATTGGCACATACCCACTAACATTAGTTTAAGCATTTAATTAGAATCCAATTAGGATGGAATATGACAAAAAAACCTAGATTGGTTTCCATCGTGACCTAATTAACACGCATCTTATTAAAAGGTTATGTTATGAGATATAGGGAGATAATAATCCAAAAATGAGTTTTGCAAACTTGAAAGTTGATTTTTACCAAAACAAGGCCACTCAAAAGGCCTTTCCCTTTGATGGACACTGCTTCTAAATTAAAGTAGAAACCAAAGGCCTTTCCCTTTAAGGGACAATTGTAAAATTAGGTCATTTCCTTTTTTCAGTGTAGATGTCAAATTAGATGTTAGGGTAAGATGTTAGCATGTAGTGAGTATTTTTTTACATTTACTGTTTCATATTGTTAGGTTTGATGTTCAATATGTCACTTATTAACGTGTACGTTATCTGTGGCTAACCCAAATAGATTATGATGATATAAGGTTGTAAAAAGTAGGACTGTTTAAAAATTCGTTTAAATCGGTAATCCGGACCGAATCAAACCGAATCATACGGTTTGGTTCGGTTCTATTAAGAATTGGTTCGATTTCGGATTAAGAAATATGAGAACCGTAAAAACGGTTCGGTTAATAGATTTTATGAAAAAATCGCAGTTCGAACTGAACCGAATCGAACCGAATTTTAAAAGATATATATATATATATATATGTATAAAATATCAAGTTTTATTTTTATTAATTGGTTTTTTGTAATTTTAATGATATTAGGATGGTATAAATATATAATATTAAGTAATGCCTTAATATTATTAGTTTTTATCATGAGTTAAATGTAATTAGTTTGAGTAATTATTTTGCTATTATCAATAATTTATTCTTGTAAATAAAAATTTTTAGAACCGTAAACCAAACCGAAACTGAACCGTTTTTTCGGTTTGGTTCTGGTCCGATTTTACAAGTGTAACGGTCTGGTCTGGTTCTCAAAATCACAGAATCGTTAAGATCGGTTCGATTCTTGAATTTTCTCAGAACCGAACTAATCCGGACCTTCTACACCCCTAGTAAAAAGCTGAGTCAAGTCAAGTAGTACGTTATTTAGACTTGGTTTGAAAGCTTAACAAAATTTAACATGTGTCCAAACTTGACCCGTTGATCTTTCAACTCAAATCCAAACAAATTTTAAACGTGTCTAACTCGAATAGCTCCATTTGGTTTGGTTTTTGAAATAAGGGTAAATTACACTTACATCTCCTGAGGTTTAGGTTTAATACATATTACCCCCTGGCGTTTGAGAAATTACACTGACCCCCCTGTCATTGAAATTATTTAGACTGAATGAAGATATTGAATTCATGCATTCTCTCTTTTTTTGCTTTGCTTTACTTTTTCTTTTTTTTCTCCTTTCCTTTACTTTTTTTTTTAATGTAATTTCCTCTATTTTTCTACTAGGAGTTGTTATTTTTTATATAAGCAGGGGAGTTTGTAAAATGAGACTATTAACCACAGGGGTGAGAATGTAATTTCCAAAACGTCAGGGGTGGATTGTAATTGGACCAAATCTCAAGGGGTGTCAATGTAATTTACCCTTGAAATAAATTTTGAATTTTGGGTTGTATTTTAAAAGATAAGTTGTTGAAAAGAATTTTGAAAGTTGAAAATTTGTTTTGTTATGAGTTTTGAAAATAATTTTTGAATGATTTGTAGTTTTTATTTATTTATTTGAATAGGTGGGTATGAGAGAAAATTTGATTGATTAATATATGGAATGTGAAAGAATGAGATAAGAGAAAAGAGAGAAAAAAAATGGTGGATTGATTTATTAATTTTTTTTAAAAAAGTGACGGAGAGAGGAGAGAGGAGAGAGAAAATTGAGTTTTGAATTGTATTTTAAAAATTAATTAACCAAACAAACTTTTAAATTTTTTCATCCAAATCATGTTTTAAAAATCAAATCAAACATTACCTTAATTTTTTTTTTATTGTAACATATATACCTAAGTCAAACTCAAATAATTTGATTCATTTTATAAAAGAAAAACAGCAATACAAGCAACCTAAAACTGCTAATCACAAAAAAAAAAAAGAAAAAAAAGAAAAGAAAAAAGCAACCTAAAACTGCAATATATAAATACTTGACATGGGCGACATGCCACAACAACCATACCAGAAAAGAAAAAAACAAAAAACAAACACATTTTCATGGCAACTTAAACTCTCCTCCCACAACTTTGGCATCTCAATCTCTCCCTTTGCAACTCATCTCTCCTCATTTGAGTTCTTCGACTTCATATCCCACCTCACAGTTCACAGTACTTATCATTTTTCCTCGAAGATGGCTAGTGAAAAAGAATCGTGTGGCGGGTTGGAATGGACCACGAAAAAACCTGATGGGACGACGAAGAAGTTGCAGCCCGAATCTGGGTTGGCCCACAGAGCCTTCATGAGATTGAAGGGTTTGATTTTATGGTTTGTATCAAAGATTTGGAGCTTTCTAGAAAAAGCTTGGAATTTAGGTGTCTCTGAGCCCAAAAAGGTTATTCATTGTCTCAAAGTAGGACTGGCTCTGTCTCTCGTCTCATTGTTTTACTATGTGAGGCCTTTGTATGATGGTGTTGGCGGGAATGCTATGTGGGCAGTTATGACCGTTGTGGTTGTTTTTGAATACACAGTGGGTAGGTATCATCATTGCTAATATGCTTATTTTTCTTTTTTTGTTCATGTATTCTTTATCGAATCGGACTGTCCTATTCCGGTGCGAAAAACCCACTAAAATGCCGGAAAAAAAGGGTCTTTTTTTAAAAAAAACCAGGCGTAGAACTAGTGACCTGCTCAAACCGGGGGTCTTTACAATTTTTTTTTGAATGTTGAATTGAAATTAGGGGCATTATGTAATATATAAAAAAAACTTGGCAAAAACATACATATAAAATAGAGATTTTGTAGAAGGTTGGAGGGCCAGGGCCCCCTGACCCCTCTGCCTCTGCCCTTGATTCTATCCCAGTTCAAATTCCAATTGACTTGATAATTGAACCAGTAACCCTTGACTCGATTTTTTCATTTTTGTAGAACAGTTTGAACTAGGGGCTGAACTGGTGACTTGCTCAAACCGGTCACAATTCACCATGCTGGTTGGGTTGAAAACCCCTCTATATATTCGATCATGGATTGAACCAATAAAACTCTTGACCCCGGTCTCTTTTCTTGTTTAATTAACGGTCACTGACAAAAATAACTGCAAACCTTATGTTGAGTACTAAATTTTCCAGGAAAATTTCGCCTGAGACTTAATGTTCACTTTTATTGCAGGTGCAACACTCTGCAAAAGCATCAACAGAGCAACTGGAACTTTTCTTGCCGGTTGTCTGGGTATCGGTGTTCATTGGATTGCTACTCAATCTGGAGCAAAATTTGAGCCAGTGATCGCCGGCGTGTTTATTTTTATTCTCAGTGTGTACACATTCGATCATCTCTCTGTCTTTTTTTTTTTCCCCAGACTTTGCAGTGCTCAAAATGACAATTCGTCCTTTTTTTTACAGCTTCAACAGCAACTTTCTCGCGATTCATTCCATCGTTCAAAGCAAGGTTCGACTACGGTGCCATGATCTTCATCCTCACCTTCAGTTTGGTGTCGGTCTCAGGCTATCGTGTAGACAGATTGTTCGAAATGGCACATCATAGAGTGGCAACGATTGTCATCGGAACCGCCATCTGCATTCTTACAAGCATGATCTTCTGCCCCGTCTGGGCAGGCAAAGAGCTTCACTTTCTCATAAATCGAAACATGGAAAAACTTGCAGATTCCTTGGATGGTATGCATATAAAATCCCAATCATACGTGCATTGATAATGATATCAAACATTAACTTTACAACGGAAATTGAAATTCAGGATGTGTAGCAGAGTACTTCAACGACGATGGAAATGCAAACGAGCAAGATTCCACAAAAAAAGATTCCGGGAAAATGCTGCGAGGTTACGAATGTGCACTTAATTCAAAGGCGTCAGAGGAAACCATGGTACGTCCCCTGATCATTCTGGTCAAGTGTTAACAAAAATTTAAGATCCAAACAAGTTTATTTTTAGTAATTTCATATGTTTCCTGCAGGCGAATTTTGCGAGATGGGAGCCTGCACACGGGCCCTTCAATTTCCGGCATCCATGGAAACAGTACCTCAAGATTGGCGCTGCAATGCGCAACTGCGCTTTCTGCATTGAATCTTTTAATACTTGCATCAACTCAGAAATTCAGGTAAAACCACTAGTCTTGAAAATGAATTCAAATGAGGTTACGTTATTAGGATTGTAAACGAACTGAGCCCATGTAGTATATTGTTTAAATTTGACTTCAAAACTTAGTAAGTTTCAAAATGTATTCAAATTTTGACTTATTTGCCTTTGGAGCTGAACACAAATGAGTCAAACTCAAGTAACTTGATTTGTTTTACAGTCACCAAAATAAAGCTTGTTTTCCATTGAGGATGAACACCAGAAAATGCAAAAAATATTTTCCAAAAAATGTTTTCCCTGTTTTCGATCGAAACAAATGAAGCATTAGCAATATGTTGTTATATGCCGTTGCTCCAAATTCTTGCACCACCACAGGCACCAGAGTTTCTAAAGAACAACTTCAGTGATGTTTGCATTAGACTGAGCTCTCATTGTTCCAAAGTCTTGAAAGAATTGTCAGTGACAATGAAAACCATGACAAAGTCATCTGCCACAGATTTATTGGTTTCTGAAATGAACTTCGCAGTTCAAGAGCTTCAAAATGACCTAAAAGCCCTTCCCAACTGGCTACTTTTGGACTCGCTACCGGCAAATAATGAAAAAGAAGAGCCAAACACAGAACAGTTGATAGTACCTCTCACAGAGATTCTTCCACTGGCCACAGCAATATCTTTGCTGATCGAAATAACAGCAAGAATAGAAGGAATTGTTGATGTTGTCGACAAGCTAGCAGATTTAGCTGAATTCAAGCCTGAAGATGATAAGAAATCCGAACAAAAGAAAATAGACGATCAAACAATGAAAATCCTTGAAAAGATCTGAGTTCGTCATGAACAAGTCTATCCTTCGGTTGTTTTCCCATCAAACTGAAAAAACTTCTCTGTTTGGTAACTGAAACTGTGAAGTGTACACCATAGAGTAACAAACTTGCATGACAACACAATGCACCAATTTTAGTGTGTGTTTTCTCCACCATGCAAATGCAATCTACATATACAATGTGTTCCATCGTTAAGTGTCATTAATTCATGATCCTGAATAAATTATGTTATCACCACTCAGTTTCAACTTGCTGGAAAACCTGATTGTAAGTTTCAAAACTTGTAATTGATTAAGAATTTGAAACCAAATCAATTTCTTACTGTTACAAACTGTTTCATATAAAACTCTTTTAATATATTTTATTATATATTCTATTATTATCTTTAATGGCAATAAACATGTGAAACTGTTAGGCCAAATAAAACCTGATACATTTTAATTAAAATTATTATTATTTTTCAATTTGAGTGTTGGAGATTCAAGACCTTCACTCCTATTTATACTCAACACTTTTCCAAAGCTTGAGGAAAAAAGAACATCCTCTCCTATTCCCAGGAAAAAAATTCTGTTTTATTCAAAAGCTCCCTTTTTCTGTTATTTCCTATTTGTGGGCAATTCCGGTTCGAGACGTGGTTCTTTTGTGAGAATTAAAATAATTTTAATTCAGAAAAAAAAATACCTCTTGCCATGATGTTCAAGCCTTTGAAACAAAACCCACTCACAAAACACTTTTACAGAACCATATGAGAAAAGTAAAAGAAACAGAGTTTCAAGCCTATTTTATTCACAAAACAACGTCTGTGTTTGATGGCTATCACAGACATATATATAGATAGGTTTGGACCCATATCCAAGTCTAACTCCTTATAACTTCCTACCATCAGGGAAGTTGTAAGATCCCATGAAACCAGTCCCATGAAACCACCATATAGGATAGTGAACAGACGTTAGTTACCCATTAACCATTAAACTAATTAAATATATATAATATAAATAACTAAATAAATAAAACAAACATGTGGCATATGGGCCACTTTATGGATATTCTTACATTCTCCCACTTGGCACATATAACACACGTTGTTGACTGTCGGGTAACTAACAAACTGATTATGGCCATTAAATTAAAATACCCAAACCTTAGAGTTATAATACATGAATCATGACGGTTATACTCTATCAATTATATGAAAATTCGGCCGAGCTGGGTAATGGGCCGTCATGGGCCGCTATACAAAGGGCTGAGTAAAAAGGCTTTAAAGTTAGTCCGATACAAGAGCCCCGAATCTAGTCCGGCCCGGAGGAGACTTGAAGTTAGTCCGGTCTAAAGACACTTGGAAGTTAGTCCGGTCTTAGAGTTAGCCCGGTCATGGCGTATTGTGTCTAGAACGGTCAAAACCCACTATTCGGTAGCTCGGTTTGATCATACCATGGTTTGTACATGAGAGAACCGAGATAAGGTGTAGCGAAAGGAAGAACCGAACTAAGGATAGTTCGGCCTACTCTACGGCTCAGCATAACCATGATTACTTCGGTCATATTGGAGTTCAGCCGTGGTAAAAACCATCTCACTTGGTTTAAGCAGTGAGGGGGGGTGTTGAAGGATAAGCATTATCTTTCATGGAGTATGAATCCTAGGAGGACTCTGCATGGAGGAGTAGAAGTCCTACTAGGATTGTGCCACACGAAACCTATAAAAGCTCACAAACATCACCTTTGGAGAGGTAACACAACTTTGTTTTCTAAATACACAGAGCTTTTGTCTATTTGTCAAGCTTACTGACTTAAGCATCGGAGAGGTTTCCGGCACACACCTGCCGGCTAGCTCACGTTTGTGTTTTCAGGTGATAAAGCGACGAGAATTACCACAGTCCGCCATCGACGGGCAAACACCAGATGGGGGGGCCAGGCGTGAAGGATTACCTTCTATCCCTCCCATGGCGGACTTGGAGCCCCAACGACACAACGCCAGGAGAGATACTAGGGGGAGGCGGACTCACAGCCCCCGTCACTCTCATTCACAAAGTCCTGACAGGCAAAGGCGGAGGATTGATCCTCAAGTTCTGGAGGACCGCGTGAAGGAGCAAGACGAATTAATAAGAAAGATGGCGGCCGACATGGAAGCCTTAAAGCGCCAGATGAAGGAAAAAAGAGTGGCGACAGGAGAGGGACGCAAAAACAAGACGTCCCCTCGCCGCTCGGAAGACCATGGAAGGTATTCAACGCCATCACAAGCAGAAAGTAGAAGCCTCAGGACAGGCGATACTCAGTCTGGAACCTCCAAAACTCGTTACTCCAGGTTTGAGAGAACGAGATCATTGAGGTCTTACGCAGAAGGAAGTACCTACCGACCCTTACACTCGCACCAAACATCATCCAAACAGACGGAGTTGCCCAAATCATCCGATTTGCGGATCATGTTGGAAGAAAAGGCACGATGGAAGGAGGACACTAGGGCGCGCGACCCTCGCAGAGTTTCTGCCCTTCAACGATTGGCTCCTCGATCGCATGGAAGTGTCGAGGTTGGAATGCCATTACCACACCCTACCTACGAACCAACGGACAAGGCATTAGCAAGGCTGCAGACCTCGCCGTTCGTTCTGACAATCGAAAACGCGCCCCTACCTACAGGCTTCCTTCAGCCCAAATTCACTACGTACGAGGGGAAGACGGACCCCTACATTCACCTAAGCCACTTCCGCCAGGTTATGGCGGTATATCGACGAAACGAGGCTCTAACGTGCATCCTCTTCCCATCAAGCCTTGGCGATCTAGGCTTGACTTGGTTTGAAAAACTTCCAGAAGGCAGCATAGCCTCTTGGGCGCAATTGCGATCTAGGATTGACTTGGTTTGAAAAACTTCTAGAGGGCAGCGTAGCCTCTTGGGCGCAATTGGCAGAGGCGTTTGTCACCAGGTTCAGAACAAACACTAAAACCCCGGTAGAGATTGACCAGTTACTCTCCATCGACATGGGCGACAAAGAGACCCTAAGATCCTACAATAGTCGCTATTGGGAGACATTCAACTAGATTGGGGACTGCCCCACCAATCTCGCCATTGCGCAGTATAAAAGAGGCCTTCCAGTCGGGAACAGACTAAGGGACTCGATCACCATGACGCCTCCCCTTACCATGGAAGCCTTGATAGAAAGAGTGCATCAGCACATCAAGGTGGAAGAGGATGGCGCACGTGCCAAAGCAAAATCTGGCACGACCGCAGTACTAGAAAAGAAGACCTCAGCAAAGGTCAATGCAGTAGATCGACAGAACAGAAACGGACGTGGCAGGCGAGACAACGGAGAGGACCCAGATAAAAGATGGTTGAGGGTCCGCACGGCCATAACCACAGTATTCAAGAAACCGATCTACCGAATTCTAAGTGAAATAAGAGATGGGCCTTTCGTCAGATGGCCAGCCAAACTAGGGGAAGTGCAGAAGGACTATGACGAAAGATCACAGTGCACCTTCCATAAAGAAAAGGGGCACCGCACTGAGAATTGCACGCCATTGAGACAGCATCTGGAGGAGTTGGTGGTAGTAGGACTATACCGATCCCGATATTCCCTGTTGTTGTTTAATTGTAATCCCGACTCGGTTCCGTAGATTCGTTGTTGTCTTATCCTCTTTTCTATCCCTTACTCTTTGTGTCAGAGTTTTGGGTTGTGTTGGGCAAGTTGGGAATAAGTTGGCCGTGTTTTAAAACTTAGAATTTTTGCCCAGGTTTTGGTCTCTCTGCTCGAGCGACGGTTTGACGCTCGAGCAGGCTTTTGTTGTTGTCTCTCCCCTCGAGCGGTAGTTTGGACGCTCGAGCGTGAATTTCCTTCTCTCAGCATTTTGGACGTCTGCAGAAAATTCTGGGAGAGTGCATCCGGTGCTCGAGTGGATCTTTGGACGCTTGAGCGTGAACCTGTGTCTCACGCTCGAGCGGGGTGTTGTACGCTCGAGCGGACCTGTTTTTATATCAGTCCGTGAAATCACTTTTTTTTTATCACTTTTTGATTTCTTTTCTCTCTCTTACTTTTTCAAAACCTCCATTGGAGAGCACCTCACTCTACAACCTAACTTCTCTCTTAGGATTGATCTAGTTAGAGTGTCTTCCTACCCTTTGGACTTTGTAAAAGTTGTGTTGATCGTCAAGGGCTTCTTTGTGATCCAAGAAATTTGGGATTGGAGCACTTTGATTTCGGGTCATCTTCTCTATTTGAGTTCTCCATTTAAGGTAGGGATTCTCCTTGTTCTTTTTTCAATACTCCGTCTATAGATAGACATGTGGTAATTTTTGTATTGCATGAAAATTGTATCATGTTGGATTTGTTTGAAAAGCATGAAATAAACCTAGGGTTGGTTGTGTGGAGAATGGTTTTGGCTTCGTTGATTGTTGTCTTGGCTAATTAAAATATAAATTAGCATGTTGTAGTTAAATGAAGAAAAGCCCTAAATTATATTTTGGTTGGGTAAATTAAAATGGGGGTTTGTTGACCATTGTGTGTAAATCTCTTTTGTCAAAATGAGTGTGGTAAGGGTGTTAATACCTAAAGGATTAACCATGGCTTTGGAGTTGATTTTATGGAAACAAGATTAGTGGAGTTGGTTTTGTGATAACAAAAAGGAAATGGAATCGCTTTTGTGAAAATAAGGGAAGTGTTTTCGAAATAAGTTTGAGAATTGGATTGTTGTATCTTGAGTGTTGAACACACATGTAGAAGTTGTATCTTTAACTATCATGTTAATATTGTTGTTGGGTTTATGATTCATGATATTTGAGTCTTTTAATAGATGTACTAACTATATGCATCTAGAGGTTTTGTCCTTGGTCATCGGTGGAGGATGACACAGTTGTGTAGAATTGTCGGGTATGCATTTTACCATTGATTAATTGAACATCGTATGTGATGAAGTGCTAGATACATTATATTTAATCAACTTAACTCTGCCATATTATGTTTACACTTTACACTGTAGGATTTGTGAATGGAAAAAACACTCAATTTTTTTCTTTTGATGTTCATTTCATAAATAATTATAGTGTAGTGATATGAAGAAAATAATAAATTTTTTTGCAGTTGTTTTATAACTTGGTGCCTGAACAAAGCCTCCTTGGCTGGCCATGGTGACTGAATACATGGAAATGGGATCTTGGGTTTATGTGTTTATCTGTCTAAATGATTGTATGCAATAGAGATGTAAATTTTGAGACTAAGTGTGTCTTGTAACTTAACGGTAGTGGAGTGTGCCTTGGAGAAGGCTATTGTGTTTTG